ATCTGTCAGACAAAATATACAATACCCTTTTCTACTCTGTTTTGTAGTATATAAACCAACTCAATATGCTCTCTCATATAAAATACCGAAATTCTAACTTTACGCAAAAATTCTAAATAATATCTGGGCGACCCAAATTTAAAAAAAAAATGGCATTGAATATAGTCTGATAGAAAAAATATACAATGTTTTATTCTACTCTGTTTCGGAGTATATACACCTACTCAGTGTGCTTCCTCATGTAAAATTAAGTAATTCTAATTTTACCAGAATCGAAAAAATCTATATATAATTTAGGCACCACAATGTTAACAACAAAATTGCTTTGAATGTAATTTGTCAGAAAATATATACAATGACCTATTTTATTTTGTTTTGGAGTATATACACCAACTCCATATGCTCTCTCATGTAAAATAAAGAAATTCTATATTTAAGTGAATCGAAAAAAATCTAAATAATATCTAGGCGCCCCAAAGTTAAAAGAAACTGGCCCTGAATATAGTCTGTTAGAGAAAATATACATTGCCTTATTCTACTCTGTTTTGTAGTATATACACCAACTCAGTATACACTCTCATGTAAAATACAGAATCGAAAAAATCTAAATATTATATAGGCACCACAGTGTTAAAAGCAAAATTGCTCTGAATATAATCTGTCAGATAGAATATACAATGCCCTTTTCTACTCTGTTTTGTAGTATATACACCAACTCAACATGCTCTTTCATGTAAAATACTGAAATTCTAATTTTACGCGAATCTAAAAAAATCTATATAATAACTAGGCGCCCCAAAGTGAAATGAAAATAACTCTGAATATAGTCTGTTAGAAAAAATATACAATGACTTATTCTACTCTGTTTTACAGTATATACACCAACTCAGTGTGCGCTCTCATGTAAAATACAGAAATTATAATTTTACAAGAATCGAATAACTCTAAATATTATCTAGGCACCCCAATGATAAAAACAAAAATGTTCTGAATATAATATGTCAGAAAAAATATACAATACCCTATTCTACTCTGTTTTGTAGTATATACACCAACTCAATATGCTCTCTCATAATTTTACGCATATCAAAAAAAATCTAAATAATATCTAGGCGCCCCAACGTTAAAAGAAAGTGGCTCTGAATACAGTCTGCTAAAAAAAATATACAATGCCTTATTCTACTTTGTTTTGGAGTATATACACCAACTCAGTATGCTCTCTCATGTAAAATAGAGAAATTCTAATTTTACCCGAATCGAAAAAATCTCAATATTATCCAGGCATTCCAATGTTAAAAACAAAATTTCTCTAAATATAATCTGTCAGAAAAAAAATACAATGCCCTTTTCTATTCTGTTTTGAAGTATATACATCAACTCCCAATGCTCTCTGATGTAAAATACAGAATTTCTATATTTAAGCGAATCGAAACAAATCTAAATATTATCTAGGCACCCAAATGTTAACACCAAGATTGCTCTGAATATAGTCTGTCAGAAAAAATATACAATGCATTTTTCTACTCTGTTTTGTACTATATACACAAACTCAGTATGCTCTCTCATGTAGAAATTCTAATTTTACCCGAATTGAAAAAATCTAAATATTTTCTAGACACCGCAGTGCTAAAAACAAAATTGCTCTGAACATAATCTGTCTGAAAAAATATACAATGCCCCATTCTACTCTGTTATGGAGTATATAAACCAACTCAGTATGCTCTCTCTTTTAAAATACCAAATTCTACTTTTACGTGAATCGAAACAAATCTAAATATTATCTAGGCAACCCAATGTTAAAAGCAAAATTGCTCTGAATATAATCTGTCAGAAAATATATACAATGCCTTTTCTACTCTGTTTTGTAGTATATACACCAACTCAGTATGCTCTCTCATGTAAAATACAGAAATACAAATTTTACCAGAATCCAAAAAATCTAAATATTATCTAGGCACCCCAATGTTAAAAACAAAATTACTCTGAATATAATCTGTCAGAAAAAATATACAATGCCTTATTCTACTCTGTTTTGGATTATATATACCATGTAAAAGACAGAAATTCTATAGTTAAACGAATCGAAAAAAATCTAAATATTATCTAGGCTCCCCAATGTTAAAAGCAAAATTGCTCTGAATATAATCTTTCAGAAAAAATATACAATGCCCTTTTCTACTCCATTTTGGAGTATATACACCAACTCCATATGCTCTCTCCTGTAAAATACCAAAATTCTAATTTTACGCGAATCGAAAGAATCTAAATAATATCTAGGCCCCCAAAAGTAAAAAGAAAATGGCTCTTAATGTACTCCGTTAGAAAAAATATACAATACCATTTTCTACTCTGTTTTGGAGTATATACACCAACTCAATATGCTCTGTCATGTAAAATACCGAAATTCTAAATTTATGTGAATCGAAAAAAATCTAAATATTATCTAGGCACCCCAATGTTAAAAGCATAATTGCTCTGAACATAATCTGTCAGATAAAATATACAATGCGCTTTTCTACTCTGTTTTGATATGCTCTCTCATGTAAAATACAGAAATTCAAATTTTACATGAATTGAAAAAAGTCTAAATAATATCAAAGTGCCCCAAAGTTAAAAGAAAATGCCTCCAAATATAGTCTGTTAGATAACATATACAATGCCTTATTCTACTCTGTTTTGGAGTATATATACCAACTCAGTATGTTCTCTCAGGTAAAATACAGAAATTCTAATTTTAACCGAATCGAAAAAATCTGAATATTATCTAGGCACCCCAATGTTAACAACAAAATTGCTCTGAATATAATCTGTCAGAAAAAATATACAATGCCCTTTTCTACTTTGTTTTGTCGTATATACAACAACTCAATATGCTCTCTCATGTAAAATACAGAAATTCAAATTTTACTCGAATTGAAAGAATCTAAATATTATCTAGGGACCCAATGTTATAAACACAATTGCTCTGAATATAATGTGTCAGAAAAAATATACAATGCCCTATTCTACTCACCTCCATATGCTCTCTCATGTAAAATACAGAAATTCTAATTTTACGTGAATCGAAAAAAAATCTAAAAAATATCTAGGCGCCTTAAAGTTAAAAGAAAATGGCTCTGAGTATAGTCTGTTAGAAAAAAATACAATGCCTTATTCTACTCTGTTTTGGAGTATATACACCAACTCAGTATGCTCTCGAATGTTAAATACCGAAATAATAAATTTACGTGAATCAAAAATAATCTAGATATTATCTAGGCACCCAAATGTTAAAAGCAAAATAGCTCTGAATATAGTCTGTTAGAAAAAATATACAATGCCCTTTTGAACTCTGTTTTGTAGTATATACACGAACTCAATATGCTCTCTCATGTAAAATACAGAAATTCTAATTTTACTTGAATCGAATAAATCTAAATATTATCTAAGCACTCCAATGTTAAAAACCAAATTGCTCTGAATATAATCTATCAGAGAAAATATAAAATACCCTATTCTACTCTATTTTGGAGTATATACATATACACCAACTCCATATGCTCTCTCATGTAAAATACAGATATTTATATTTAAGCGAATTGAAAAAATTCTAAATATTATCTAGGCACCCCAATGTTAAAAGCCAACTTGCTCTGAATATAATCTGTCATAAAAAATATACAATGCCCTTTTCTACTCTGTTTTGTAGTACATACAGTAACTCAATATGTTCTCTCATGTAAAATAACCAAATTCTAATTTATGCGAATCGAAAAAATCTAAATAATATCTAGGCACCCCAAAGTTAAAAAAAAATGTCTCTGAATATAGTTTGCTAGAGAAAATATACAATGCCTTATTCTACTCTGTTTTGGAGTATATACATCAACACCATATGCTCTCTCACGTAAAATACAGAAATTCTATATTTAAGCGAATCGAAAAAAATCTAAATATTATCTTGGCACCCCAATGTTAAATACAAAATTTCTCTGAACATAATCTTTCAGAAAATGTTTTGGTGTATATACACCAACTCAGTATGCTCTCTCATGTAAAACACCGAAATTCTAATTTTATGTGAATCGAAAAAAATCTAAATATTATCTAGGCACTCCAATGTTAAAACAATATTGCTCTAAATATAATCTGTCCGAAAAAATATAAAATTCCTTACTCTACTCTGTTTTGGAGTATATACACCATCTCCATATGCTCTCTCATGTAAAATACTGAAATTCTAATTTTACGCAAATCGAAAAAAATCTAAATAATATCTCCGTGCCCCGAAGTTAAAAGAAAATGGCTCTGAATATAGTCTGTTAGAAAAAATATACAATGCCTTGATCTACTCTGTTTGGAGTATGTACACCAACTCAGTATGCTCTATCATGTAAAATACCGAAATTCTAATTTTACGTGATTCGAAAAAAATCTAAATATTTTCTAGGCACCCCAATGTTAAAAGCAAAAGTGCTCTGAATAAAATCTGTCAGAAAAATATACAATGCCCTTTTCTATTAATTTCTATTTTTTTTTTTTTTTGGAGTATATACACCAACTCAATATTTTCTCTAATGTAAAATATCGAAATTCTAATTTTACGCGAATCGAAAATAATCTAAATAATATCTAGATGCCTCAAATTTAAAGGAAATGGCTCTGAATATAGTCTGTTAGAGAAAATATACAATGCCTTATTCTACTCTGTTTTGGAGTATATACACCAACTCAGTAAGGTCTCTCATGTAAAATACAAAAATTCTAATTTTACGTGAATCGAAAAAAATCTAAATATGTTTTATGCACCCCAATGTTAAAAACAAAATTGCTCTGAATATAATCGGTCAGAAAAAATATACAATGCCCTATTCTCCTCTGTTTTGGAGTATATACAACAACTTCATATACTCTCTCATCTGAAAAACAGAAATTCTGGCGTGCCCCCCAGCCGCTGCCGCCACTGGCCCGTGCCGTCACCCCACTTCTCCGCACCTCGGGCGTTACTCGGCCAGCCCCTGGCGCCGCGCCCGCCTCGCGGACCTGTCCTCCCGACACCTCCCGCTGCCCGCGACCCCCGCCCGGCCGCTCGCCTGCTGCCCGCCGGCCGCACACGTCCCCGGAGCCGGGCCTAGGGCGGGCGGCAGCGGCGGCTTGGCGCGGTCAGGCTGGGCTCTGTGGCGTCCCCATGGCCGTGGCCGGCTGGCGGGACGGCTTTGGCCAAGAGAAGTACCGACTTGTGGTGGTCGGCGGTGGCGGCGTGGGCAAGTCGGCGCTCACCATCCAGTTCATCCAGTCCTATTTTGTAACAGATTATGATCCAACCATTGAAGATTCTTACACAAAGCAGTGTGTGATAGATGACAGAGCAGCACGGCTAGATATTTTGGATACAGCAGGACAAGAAGAGTTTGGAGCCATGAGAGAACAATATATGAGGACTGGCGAGGGCTTCCTGTTGGTCTTTTCAGTCACAGATAGAGGCAGTTTTGAAGAAATCTATAAGTTTCAAAGACAAATTCTCAGAGTAATAAAGGATCGTGATGAGTTTCCAATGATTTTAATTGGCAATAAAGCAGATCTGGATCATCAAAGACAGGTAACACAGGAAGAAGGACAACAGTTAGCACGGCAACTTAAGGTCACATACATGGAGGCATCAGCAAAGATTAGGATGAATGTAGATCAAGCTTTCCATGAACTTGTCCGGGTTATCAGGAAATTTCAAGAGCAGGAATGTCCTCCTTCACCAGAACCGACACGGAAAGAAAAAGACAAGAAAGGCTGCCATTGTGTCATTTTCTAGAATCCTTTCAGTTTTCGCTACCAACTGCCAGGAAAAGCCCTTATCTCCTCTTCCTCTCCTCAGTTTACATCTTATTTGGTACCTTTCTAGCCTTAGACAAATGATCACCTTGTTAGCCTTAGACCAAGAAGCTGGCTAGTCAGTTTTTTCCGTGAAGCTAATACAATGGTCATTTCCAGACAAATTTAAAGGAAACACTAAGGCTGCTTCAAAGATATCTGATTCCTTTTTTAAAATATGTGTCTATATACACAGACATGCTCTTTTTTTAAGTGCTTACATTTTAATAGAGATGAATCAGTTTTGGAATCTAAGCTGTTTGCCAAGCTGAAGCCACAGGTTGTGAAATAATTTTTAACTTTTGGAATCATACTGCCTACTGTTACTCTAAATAGAAATATAGGGATTTTTTTTAATGTGAATTTTTGCCTATCTTTAAAAATTTCAATGTCAGACTTTGTTAACCTTAAATACACTGAATTGAATCTACAAAAGTGAAACATCTCAGACCTTTACTGATACTACAGCTTTTGTTTTCTGGTGGCCAAAATACCAAAATGCCTATCGTATTTATGGATTAAAAACTGCTCATAAAAGCCTGTGTTATTACTCCTACTCTTGAAGATGATAATATTCTACGTGGTCAAATATTTGGACTCATTCAGGACTTAAACATTTCAGTGTACTTGATTTTTTAATTTAACTCTTTTTCACAGCCACGCTAAGGGTAAAAAAATAGTTTGTCTTCCTTTTCAAGTATTTCTGGATAAGGGATTTGAAAAATTAAAACTGTTTTTGTTTGCTGTAATATAAAATATGGAATTAATCTTTCCGGGGTCAGAGATGATTAATGTTTTTGCTATATACTTTTTATACATTATTTTCTTATCAAACTAGTTAACAAGTATTTTTATATGTTTGTAAGCAGATATGCTTTCACAGCATACCTTGTGTATATGTAAAGATAAGTATTTAATTCTCACTGTTCACTTTTAACTGACAAAGAAAAACAAGTGGAAACTGGAGAAACTGTGGTAGAGCTCTTACTTGCTGGTCTGGTCTTGGTTATACCCATCTTTGGCCAGTCACATATCTACTCAAGAAACCTTCCCAACAGAGTACAACAGGATGAGACTCTGAAATGACTTCTAATGTTCCCTGCTAGATACTGATTGTTATATCAAGTATTAAGTGTAAGCTTTTAATGGACAATTAGTATAACTGTGGATGGCATCATCTGATTTTGTTTTTAATTCTGTGGATTGTGTTTAAGCAATTCAATAGTATGTTCCTGATTTTGAGATGCTAAGTGGTATTGCACAGTTGTCACTTTATCAAGTGTGTACAACAGTCCCATGAAGTTTATAGAGCATACCCTTGTATAGCTTCAGGTGCTAGAATTAAAATTGATCTGTTATCACAAAAAAAAAGAAAAAGAAAAACAGAAATTCTATATTTAAGCGAATCGAAAAAAATCTAAATATTATCTAGGCAACCAAATGTTAAAAGCAAAATTTCTCTGAATATAATCTGTCATAAAAAATATACAATGCCGTATTCTACTCTGTTTTTGAGTATATACACCAACTCCATACACTCTCTCATATAAAATACAGAAATTCCATACTTAAGCGAATCGAAAAAAATCTAAATATTATCTAGGCACCCCAATTTAAAAACAAAATTACTCTGAATATAGTCTGTCAGAACAAATATACACTCTGTTTTGGAGTATATACACCAACTTTATATGCTCTATCACTTAAAATACAGAAATTCTATATTTAAGCGAATCGAAAAAAATCTAAATATCTTATAGGCACCCCAATGTTAAAAACAAAATTGGTCTGAATATAACCTGTCAAAAAAAATATACAATGCCTTTTTCTACTCTGTTTTGGGGTATATACACCAACTCAATATGCTCTCTCATGTAAAATACCGAAATTCTAATTTTACGTGAATCAAAAAAAATTTAAATTATATCTAGGCACCCCAAAGTTAAAAGAAAATGGCTCTGAATTTAGTCTGTTAGAGAAAATATACAATTCCTTATTCTACTCTGTTTTGGAGTATATACACCAACTCAGTATGCTCTATCATGTAAAATACCAAAATTGTAATGTTACCCGAATCGAAAAAATCTAAATATTATCTAGGCACCCCAATGTTAAAAACAAAATTGCTCTGAACATAATCTGCCCTATTCTACTCTGTTTTGGAGTATATACACCAACTGCATATGCTCTCTCATGTAAAATACAGAAATTCTATATTTAAGCGAATCGAAAAATATCTAAATATTATCTAGGCACTCGAATGTTAAAAGCAAAATTGCGCTGAATATAATATGTCAGAAAGAATATACAATGCCCTTTTCTACTCTGTTTTGTATTATATAAACCAACTCAATATGCTCTCTCATGTAAAATACCGATAATATAATTTTACACCAATCGAAAATAATCTAAATAATATCTAGGCGCCCCAAAGGTATAAGAAAATGGATCTGAATATAGTCCGTTTGAAAAAATAATATGCCTTATTCTACTCTGTTTTGGAGTATATACACCAACACAGTATGCTCTCTCATGTAAAATACCGAAATTCTAATTTTACCAGAATCGAAAAAATCTAAATATTATCTAGGCACCCCAATGTTATAAACAAAATTGCTCTGAACATAATCTGTCAGATAAAATGCCCTATTCTACTCTGCTTTGGAGTATATACACCAACTCTATATGGTATCTCATGTAAAATACCGAAATTCTAAATTTACGCAAATTGAAAAAAATCTAAATAATATCTAGGCGCTTCAAAGTTAAAAGAAAATGGCTCTGAATATAGTCTGTTAGAAAAAATATACAATGCCATTTTCCACTCTGTTTTGGAGTATATACACCAACTCAATATGCTCTCTCATGTAAAATACCGAAATTCTAATTTTACACGAATCGAAAAAAGTCTAAATATTATCTAGTAACCCCAATGTTAAAAGAAAAATTGCTCTTAATATACTCTGTCAGAAAAAATATACAATGCCCTATTCTACTTTGTTTTGGAGTATATACACCAACTCCATATGCTCTCTCATGTAAAATACAGAAATTCTATATTTAAGCGAAACAAAAAAAATCTAAATATCATCTAAGCACCCCAAAGGTAAAAGCAAAAAAAATATACAATGCCCTCTTGTACTCTGTTCTGTAGTATATACAGCAACTCAATATGCTCTCTCATGTAAAATACAGAAATTCTAAATTTACCCGAATCGAAAAAATCTAAATATTATCTAGATACCCCAATGTTAAAAACAAAATTGCTCTGAATATAAACTGTCAGAAAAAATATACAATTCCCTATTCTACTCTGTTTTGGAGTATATACACCAACTCCATATGCTCCTCCATGTAAAATACAAAATTTCTATATTTCAGTGAATCGAAAAATATCTAAATATTATCTAGGCACCTCAATGTTAAAAACAAAATTGCTCTGAATATAATCTGTCAGAAAAAATATACAATGCCCAATTCTACTTTATTTTGGAGTATATACACCAACTCCATATGCTCTCTCAAGTAAAATTCAGAAATTGCATATATAAGCGAATCGAATAAAATCTAAATATTATCTAGGCACCCCAATGTTAAAAGCAAAATTTCTATGAATAATCTGTCACAAAAAATATACAATTCCCTTTTCTACTCTGTTTTGAAGTAAATACACCAACTCAATATGCTCTCTCATATAAAATACCGAAATTCTAATTTTACGCGAATCAAAAAAAATCTAAATAATATCTAGCCGCCCCAACGTTAAAAGAAAGTGGCTCTGAATACAGTCTGTTAGAAAAAATATACAATGCCTTATTCTACTTTGTTTTGGAGTATATACACCAACTCAGTATGCTCTCTCATGTAAAATGGAGAAATTCTAATTTTACCCGAATCGAAAAAATCTCAATATTATCCAGGCATTCCAATGTTAAAAACAAAATTTCTCTGAATATAATCTGTCATAAAAAATACACAATGCCCTTTTCTATTCTGTTTTGAAGTATATACATCAACTCCCTATGCTCTCTGATGTAAAATACAGAATTTCTATATTTAAGCGAATCGAAACAAATCTAAATATTATCTAGGCACCCAATCTGAATATAGTTTGTCATAAAAAATATACAATGCCCTTTTCTACTCTGTTTTGTACTATATACACAAACTCAGTATGCTCTCTCATATAAAATACAGAAATTCTAATTTTACCCTAATTGAAAAAATCTTAATATTTTCTAGGCACCGCAGTGCTAAAAACAAAATTGCTCTGAATAAAATCTGTCTGAAAAAATATACAATGCCCTATTCTACTCTGTTTTGGAGTATATAAACCAACTCAGTATGATCTCTCTTTTAAAATACCAAATTCTAATTTTACGTGAATCGAAAAAAATCTAAATATTATTTAGGCAACCCAATGTTAAAAGCAAAATTGCTCTGAATATAATCTGTCAGAAAATATATACAATGCCCTTTTCTACTCTGATTTGTAGTATATACACCAACTTAGTATGCTCTCTCATGTAAAATACAGAAATACAAATTTTACCCAAATCGAAAAAATCTAAATATTATCTAGGCACTCAACAAAATTCCTCTGAATATAATCTGTCAGAAATAATATACAATATTTTTTCTACTCTGTTTTGTTTTATATACACCAACTTAATATGCTCTCTCATGTATAATACTGAAATTCTAATTTTACCCGAATCAAAAATAATCTAAATTATATCTAGACGCCCCAAAGTTAAAAGAAAATGGTTCTGAATATAGTCTGTTAGAAAAAATATACAATGCGTTATTCTACTCTGTTTTGGATTATATACACCAACTCCATATGCTCTCTCATGTAAAACACAGAAATTCTATATGTAAACGAATCGAAAAAAATCTAAATATTATCTAGGCTCCCCAATGTTAAAAGCAAAATTGCTCTGAATATAATCTTTCAGAAAAAATATACAATGCCCTTTTCTACTCTGTTTTGTAGTATATAAATCAACTCAATACGCTCTCTCATGTAAAATATCTGAATTCAAA